GCCTTACAGAGGTGCTCCTCGCGAAGAGTCAACGAAGCATAGGAAGGGGCCAATGAGTGACAGTATAAGCGATATAGGTTTTGATATAACAAAATTGGTATTGAAAGAACCATACAAACCAGTTAATAACATGACTAGTTTCGTAGGACTAGTACAGGATATTTGATTTGTAAAAGTGGACCGGTGATATCAAGTATATAGCGTTAGAATGAATCGTAAGAGCGCCATTCTTTCTTGTCTATAGAGGGCAAGTTCGTAAGGGAAAGGGTATCAGGTTAAAAGACGATAGACTATTTGGACGTCTGACACTCAACCTGGCAATACAAACTAGCCGAGTGCGATATGTATTCGATCATGGTCACAAATAATCTTTAATCCTCCAAAGTGATGTGGTATCGCTACTGGCTGGTCCACCGCAGACCCTGACAATCCAATTTCGCTGCGCTCTGTCGATAGGTTCGTAACGGGACATTCCGAAAGGCCGTCTGTCGGCGAACTGCGAAATTCTTTGATCATTTTGACTGGCATGATGTGTGACAGCCTGATTGGGTGTGGCTAACCAAATAAGCTTTTTGGACCTGTTCCTTGCCCCATTGTTCGTCTTCTCATCGCGAAGCCGACGGCAACCAACCCAGACTCTTACTGTTCGATAATGAAACCATAAATGGCTTACAGCTACTTTGCGTTTTTGTCCACGTCGTCGACATGCAAACACTCACCGCCATGAACCTGCATGATCACTGGCCTTGTTTACAAAAATAAAATAAAATACAAGAATATTATGGATTCTCACCGCCGATCAAGCCTTCCACCCCAAAGTGGGTAGATCATTCAAAAGTCGATCTCCTTGGTGCCATTTCATATCACTCCACTCGTCGCAGTGTAGGCCCTAGAACTCGATGATTGTCCACAATATACCTATTTCTTATATCGTGTCCTCCTTGTGAATACCCGTGGAGTAATCTGGAGGGTTTGAATGTGAGCAAGTCGAACGATGGACGGGTGGCTTTGGTCAAATCAGGATTAGATGCGGGGGCGACTATCCTCAGTCCTCATCAACGTCCTCACGTCCTCATCGAATGACTCGGAGGGCAGTGTTCCGTAAACTATATAAACTTGGTCCCCGCAATCGTCACCAAAGTCAGAGCTTGGTCTCCGTACCCAAGTTGTCTCAAAAATCTCGCTCTCTTTAACGCACCGGTTTTGGCCTTGGATCATTCTTACAACACTCATTCATATCAAGACTCGTACTTCTTCAACTTATGTCCAAACAAAGGGCTACACGTACTGTCGCCAGCAGGTCCGCGGCACCTATAGGCATCAGTGGTAAGACGCAGGAGACGCAGAAAGGTATAATCTTCTTCGCATATTCGCACGTCCAAAAGCTGATGAATTCAGGTGGATTCCCTACTGGGCTGGACGTGGACAACCTGCGTCTCCCTCCTTCCACTCGTAGCAAGCCCACCAGTCTCAAAGAGGGTCCTAAGAAGGAAACAGTCGTTCGTTTACTGAAGCAGGAGGAAGACGAGCAGCAACTTAATTTATGTGTCGGAGATAGGGTACGTCAGCTTGTCTCGATCGAACTCATTGTTGACACCATCCTTAAATTCCAGGTCCAGTTTACGGGAAAAATCAGTGATGTCTTGGTATATACATTTAATCCATTTCTTACACTTGTCTTATTTTTGATCAAGCTTATGTACGCCCGCTGGTTCACGGAACAGCTATCCAATGATGGATTTGAGGACTATCACAAGAACGGAAAAGAAAAATTGGATGCTATGAATCAAAGAGCTCTGACGAGGCCTAACACGCGGAGCATGACTCGAGTCACAAATGCCCTCTCCATCAGTGGACATCCAAGTCTGAAGGAGATACTCGACACCTTTATCCAGCAAGCACGTGATCCACATCGCCCATCTCCTGAGCGACTTCCATCTTCAAATCGCGAAATCGTCAATCAACGCATTCTTTCGACTTGTCAGTTGCTTGAGGGAGACCCTGATTCCGCTATGAAACTGTACGGCAATATTTGTGCAGCAGGTTCGAAGGATCCCACTAAAGAATGGCTCCTATGCTTTGGTATCCCTTGTTCGGTCGTCCACAAGAAATCGACACCTCGCAACAGTGACCATTCGTTATTTGAAAATGCGGAAGAACTTTCGGAGGATGACGGGGAACAGCGTAGGCGTTCAAGGTAAGGACTTTATCAACAATGAAACGTGCATAGACTAAGATAGTTCAAGTTCCATGACGCTGATTCATATGAAAAAATGTGGCTGGGATTTCTATGACAAGCTGCCCGAAGTAGACAGCAAGCGAACCCCTACAGCAACTGCCAATAAGAAGGCCCAAAGGCCATTGCAAGATGTCACTGTTCGTTCTCGTGAGCCAAGAGGGCCTCGAGAAAGTGGGAGGGATGGAAGATCACTGGGAATACATTTCAACCTGATCATCGAGATCCGTACGCAATTAAAGCAACTATCGTTATCGACCTTGAATCTTCCTGAGCGCTGGAAGGTCAGTAGGTTACTTGAGAGTCAGCGCTTTCTGATCAATTTAATTTTAGTTTATTGGGCAAATGAACGAAAGGCTTCCCCAACTCGTTCTTCCCGATGAATACAAGAGGGCGTTGGGTAAGGCAGATAGGAGGGTATCTGGTTCAAAGATCCACGAGATAAGCAAAAGTCAAGTCACTTCTCCAGTCTCGAGCATCAAGAAGCCCCTATCGGTACAACGCGATCACTTGTCCCAGTCCTCTCCATCAGAAGAACCCGTTCAACAATCGGATTTGGAGAAGTACCTTTACCAATCTCTTCGTGAAAGGTTCCCTCTCACCGGCCAGCGTCTCAGAGACGACTTCCAAGCCAAAGAGGTGGAGAAAGTTATCGAGGATTGGAATGCAATGCCGAGGCATCTCAATCTTACGATCGATCTCTATCGAGCTCTCGCGCAGTTAGGGGCTCTCGAGAAAGTCGTCTGGTTGTCCGACCGAGAGATGGTCCAACAGGACAGCATGTGTCGATCCGGCAATCCAACAATAAATGAACGAATCTATGGTGGTACCATACTCGAGCAAGATATTGTTAGAAACTTTCTGGTGTACCGCAGCCCGCGAAATGCCCTCAGCGAAGGCGAGGTAGAGAGTGGTTGTGGAGCAATACTTCAAAAGATCATGGCGGGAAATGGTGTTACGGACAAGCGG